TATACTTCGTTTACTTTCTGTAGCGATGTGACCTTCAGTTTCACCGGCGCAAAGTAGAAAAGAACAGCACTAGGCCAGAAAAGGAAGGAGACAACTCTCGGCAAAACTCTTAACCGGTGAGGAGCGTATAATTTGTGCAGTACTGCACGGAAAAATTGACCATTTTATCCACTACAATTGCATTGCTCAAATGTGCTGTTATTGATACCATTTACTACTGAATGTTTATTTTTATTTGAAGACATATTAAAGGCTTTAACGCTTGTTTTCGATTCGCACTACTATTCATGATTGAACAAAACTTTTGGCAGGTACTGTATGAAAAAGTACGTTTAATGAACAAGAATCGAGAGTATAATGAGCTTCTTTCTTCCTGCCTACAATTTTTCCAGCGCGCATCCAAGACATTGGAAGGGTCACATCGCTAGAGAAAGTAAATGAAGTATACTACGTCCGTGTGGGTCTTTTTGTTAGGATCAAAATCTGCTGATAACCATAACTAGCTCTGATCGTTCGAAAAAAAAAAATGTTAGTCATTGTCGTCCCAAAACAATCACTATTAGTTTTGGTCGTTTTATTATGTTTTCAAAATTAATTTGTTAGCCGTGGTCGTTTCACAAGTTCGCCTAGCCTTCTTCCAGTTTTCAGCGTAGCTGTATGAGTTTACAAAATGTTTATTGAATGTTTAAAAAATAAGTGTTTATTTGCCACACATTATCGAGCATTAGATTTCAAAATATTTTGTGTAGTATATAAAAATGTAATTAAAATGTAACATTAGAGTACAGTTACTGTTTGTTTTTACTTGAGAGTTAACGTGGCACTTCAAATTACATTTTACATTAGTTTGTCGACACTTACATTCTTTGTCCATATCTACTATATTTATAAAATTTTATTTTAAAATTATATTATATTTATAACATTATAANAATAATAAAGTCGGTTTTAATAATAATCTAGGAATTTCATTAAACTCCGACAAATAATGTAATTGACACATACTCCATTACATTCCTAACTGACCTTATATTTTTAATTAGAAAAATGGCTTCGCCAGGGTTATGTTGTTTTGGAGTTGTGCCTTCCTTATATGTTGCTTGACTTTGGATAGTTCTCTTAATTATTACCTAGCGTTTACATAGTAAACAAAAAAGAAATAAATAAAATAATAATCGTCGCCTTCAATAAAAAGAAGTCACTTCTATGCTCGCAAACGGTTAATTTAGAAATTTGAAAAATGTTGTTAGAGGTGTATGTTTGGAGCACGGCGGTTTGCAGGTGCGAAACATGTACAGTGGGCGCGGCGAAAAAGAAAAGGTTAGAAGCGTTCGAAATGTGATGTTATGTCATTATGTTTTTGGTAGATAACTATGGTCACACAGTTTTACAGCTGGACACTATAAAATATATAAAGTATGGACAACAGTGTGCCAACCACCTAATTATTTATCTAATATTTTATTTTTTNTATGCTCGCAAACGGTTAATTTAGAAATTTGAAAAATGTTGTTAGAGGTGTATGTTTGGAGCACGGCGGTTTGCAGGTGCGAAACATGTACAGTGGGCGCGGCGAAAAAGAAAAGGTTAGAAGCGTTCGAAATGTGATGTTATAGGCGAATGATGAGGATAACGTGGGTAGAAAAGGTTAGAAATGAAGAGGTATTGGAAAGAATAGGAGAACAGAGGACTCTATGGAAGTCAATAAGGAATAGGCAAGACACCTTGTCGGGCATGAAGATCTAGTCGGAAACATGTTAGAGGTAGAAAGGGTAGTTAGGAGGGGTAGAGGTAGACCTACATTATTGTTATTGATTAAATGATAAAATAATAATTAATTATTGGAGAAAGTTCGCAAACTCAAATATCGAATGGAAACTGAACTGAAATGAAATTAATCTTTAATAGCGGAAAAAAGTCGAAAACACATTTATGCGTAATCATCTAAATATAGATGTTGAAAAATACTGAAAGCAGGTCAATATTAATTAGAACTTTTAACTTAATTAAGGTTAGTTTCCTTCAAAAATAGTTCATCCAGAGGGTAAATTTTTAATACATTTGCTGTTCGCAATTTCCGTTTGGGTTTGGTCAACATTTACAAAATATGCCGAAGTGCAACAACAATTACTTATTTTCTATCTACTGTATAAACGTATATGAATTAAACTATGGAATACGTTGTAGGATACATTACGATAGTATATTGTAGGTCCCGAAATAGGAATTAACAATGTGCAAGTTGAAACGAATTAAAACGTAGGTTACGTAATTTAAAAATTCTTGAAATGGAAAGCCATGAACTAGGGACATGCAGGGAGAAAGAAGACTAGTTCAGCATCCTTACTACAAACTTATCATTTAATTTGGAGTTTTTAGGTAAATGATGTCCAACACAATAATTCTTATTTATACAGGGTATTTCTGAATTAAGTGGTAATCTTTGGAGGGTGTCAATTAGTTGCAATAGGTATCACGTGGTAAGTAAAAGATCTTCATTAAGGCATAAAGAAATTTATAAGAAAACCAGAAGAATTTACAATCCGAAGCCGGTCCTGGACGTGAATTAGCAGCGTACAGCGAAATTGTGATAACAACTAAACTGCTACATAGATGAACAATGTAAATAATGGCCGGTTGTGGAACGACTAATTAAGTAAATATTAAAGGATTTTTACTCCGTTACTACACATAACAATTTTTAGACGGCCATTACGATAAAAAGTTAATTAAATAGCAACTTTGTTCATAGCTGATAATATGCAGCACTATTTAAAGTACACCTGGACATGATATTAAGAACAGAAACGAATGAAAAACTGAACGTTATGTAAACATTAACATCCTCTAGATAGATAATTCTAATTTTATTATTGTAATCCCGCGCAAAAAAGCAGACGTCGAGGCGTCTCCCGGAATTATTGCAGGTTACTCTTAACCTCCGTATAGCATTTAAGATTTTTTGCTGATGAGGAACTCCTTGCTGGAGATATCGATGACCGTATAATTGCTTTGTATTCATCATTGTATTCGTAAATTAGTATTATGTCGTAAAGTTCTGCAAACGACTTTCACTAATCACATACACACAAATCTACAACGTTAAACGAACAAAGAACTACTCTAGGCTGACCATAAAATTAACGTTGGCAATTACACTTAATTTAATCTAACAAACAAAAACA